GAAATTGGTAACACGGGAACGAATCTTTGCTTCTTTGTATAAATCTGTAACATGTTCTTGTATCTGTGCTCGAATCACATTTATCTCGTCCGCGTCCAATCCCGGCTGTTGACTTTCAAAAGTATGGAGCTTATGAAGTAAATCATAAAAATAGCGTTTTTCAGCTTTTTTTTTTCTTTGCGCCAATTCACATGAAATACTAATTGCCTGATACTTGACTCTTTCTTTGAACCTTTCCCATTGAGCGAAAATTGGCAGCTGTCGACACTGTGTTACCTCTTGTACCGATTTTTTTACTATTTTAACAAAACAATCTTCGCGCAACAACTGTACGTTAAGCTTCCATAGGTCCCAATTTAGAGGGGTTTTACGAAAATTTTCAGGACCCCAAGAAACAGTGACCAAGCAATGGTCTGTAAAAAATGTGGGCTTTACAGCATAATCACGAATGTGAGACCACAAGCTTAGAGATACATATACACGGTAAAGCCGAGCATGAGAAATGCCTTGAAAGTGCGTGAACCTCACCGAGGAAGGTGCATGCGCTCCCACATCTATTAAATTGTGGTCATTCGATAATTTCTGCGGTAAGGTTGCACTTGCATCATAACGATTTGTTATATATGAATGATCTCTCGCGTTACAGACACGATTTAAGTCTCCAAAAAGTATCAAAGTTCTGTCAGTGTTTAGCAGCGAAGTTAAAGAGAGGAAAAAAGCATTCCTGTCATTCACTTTGGAGGGAGCATAGACACAGATAAACCTCCAATTATGGGAATGGGAAGCCACGCTGTTGCTTGGGACTTCATGAAAAACTTGCCTTAAACTGACTTGATGTCGGGAAAGCAATCGCGCTATTACGACTTGTAAAGCGTTTTAAAACAGCGAAAGAACAACCAATCATCGCACAATGCGAATAGCGTATTGAGTGGGTCGTCCAATGCTCCGACCCATTACAACAGCTTGTTTTCGTTCACCTATTAACTGTATACCGCATACTCACTTCAGGAATAATTCCTCGTCGTCGTCAGCCACTGCAAAAACAATTGGCACAAAATTTCTTGCAAGTGCTTATCGCACACCACGCTTTCCAGAAGAATGAAGAAAAATAGCATAGCGAATGCGGGCTACCATCCAATTTTTTTTTTAAATTTTAATGTCGCAGTGGGTATGTAAGTGCGCTTGCAGTAGTTACCTAATGAGTGCTTAGGGAAGGCCGCTCTTCTAGCTTTCGCTGTGACTGCGCTGCGCCTTTCGCGCAGGCCTCGCGTTCCACACACTCCTCCCGCCATTGAGCGTCTTCGAATGTCAAAATAAATCCTAATCGACTAATGTTTCCATTCTACATGCAAACGCGTCATTCGAGGGATTCCCGTGCAAGACGGTTCGGCGGACATTGATGCGAAGATTGTCAACGACCGCAATCCCCTATTCCTGTCTGCCAAGCGCATCGGAAGTACCACCGCAGTGATCGTGGCCTTCGATGGTCATCGCGTGCCCGATTTCGTGCGGTACAGATCGGCGCTACTTCAATGTACAATATACCGTAGACAGATAGACAACGTACACTATACAATGTACACTAGATAATGTACACTACACCGTTGTATTCGCCTGCGGCCGGCTCGGCCATCGAGCGGACGTTTGTCCGAACCCTGCCGAGGATGCAGTGTACCGAACCCCGAAAAAGAACACCGCTGTACACCAACATGCAAGCTTTACGGAGGAGCCCACCTCACTGCCGACAAGGAATCTAAAGAACGCTACCACATTCCATACGTGGTGCGACGACTACGATGGGAGCGAGCACACTAGACGCGACACAACAACGGTCATGAAGCAACGAACGATTTCAAAGCAACTGCTGACGATGACCAAGCCTCGGAACTCTCTACAGACGGTCGATCCGATTGCAGCCGATCCCGCTGGTCCCGATCCCGCAGTCGTCCCAGGAACCGCTCCATTCGCGAATCGAAGTCCCGGAGCCAACCTCAGACCCATTCGCGCATCGCGCGAAGTGGGACCCCAACCAGATCTACATCGCGGGGCTACATCGCGTCACGGCTCCCGTCCAGGTTCCCGGCCGGGGTCCCACTCCGGTTCCGGGCCTCACGCAGGTTCCAGGCCCCAATCCTCACCGGGGTTTCCCGTCAACGATCGCCGAGCCCGTCGGCACCACCATCGCCAGGCAACGCCAACAAGCGGGGAACTCTCACGTGGGCGGACGCCGTCCGGGGAAAAGGAAGCGTTACCATCACCGAGACGAGTGCGACGGCTGGTGGTTCTTTCGCTGTTTCAAAACGCATATAAGTCGTATTAACGCGATTGCTTTCCTGACCAAGCCTGCCCATTGAGGCAAGTCTGCCAACAAGTCCTAAGTACCGGCGTGACTCATTGGCAGAATATTGGGCTCGGGTTCGCGGACCCGGGTTCGAGCCCCACTGTGTCATTGGTACTGGCTTTTATTTTCCTAATTTTGTGTGATGTGGTTACGGACACCGGCAACGGACAACTGCAGTGCCGCGCGTGACCCGAGTTTTGATTTCATAACGGCTTTCGCTGTAAAAAAAAAAACAAAAAAAAACCAGTGGTGTGGAATCTGGTTTGAGAAACCGCCACTTTTTTCGGCAGAGCATGACTGCGTCCGCGAATGTGTCCTCACGGCGTAATTGGGTGCTATGCCACATGGACCATTCTGTGCGTTGCGGGCGGAACCATTCACCGCTCATCAGCCCCAGGTGACGGCCCTGTACTAGGCTTGGGATAAAGATCCTCGCCTGGCCCTTAGAAACAAGTCGGCTCATTTCCGACAAAAAGAGCAAACAAACAAAAAGCTAGATAGCCGTGTTATCCACAGCATCGCGATATAGTCGACACATATCTTAGCAGTATTTCTGCACACAGATAGAAAATACATTTTTGAAATGCATCACATACATAAATACAGATACTCAGATGTGTCTTTAACATCGTGATACTCTTCTATCACGATTCCTCACAGCCTTATAAGCCGTTGGAAGTTGGCGCCCATGTTTGCGGGTCATGTCTTCACTTCGTTCTTATCGTCAGCATACTGTTGTCTCCGCGTGAAAGAAATCTCTCCCGCTGTTTTCTTTTCATTATAAAAAAAACCCAAAGCTTCAACCCTTCGCCAAGTTTCACTTCGTCCTCGTTCTTCTTAGCGTCATACCATCTCCCCGAAGGGAACCATGATGGGAAACGAAGCAGCAGTGGTGCGCACGCCGTTGACCCGGCTGAAACGGGCGTTGACGTGGGCGTTGGAAGAAAGGTTTGAAGTGAAACTCGGTGGAGCCTTCAAAACGTTTGTTTGAAACGCGGGAGGTGCCGGGTTGAATTTCGTGCATAAACGAGCCTAAAGAGTGTTTACACTCGACGTGCGGTCGAGCGTTGCGAGCAGCGAAGAATGTGAAGCGAGAGAGAAGGGTGTTGCGAGCGGGTGGATGAGGAACACCACCTTGGTGTGTTGGGAGGAGCCGGCAGCTGCGATTTGACCAACTTGACATCGTTCCAGCAACTGCATGCGGCGATGGGAACGCGGTGCGGCGCGTTCGCACGGACGGACAGCGTTACATAGGCTATCCGAAGAGCTGCTTCGCATTCAAAAAAAACAAAAAAAAACAGCGAAGGCGTTTAACAACCCCCTTCCGCAGCTATGCCTACGCAAATATAGCTCACTAGTATATTTGAGAAAAGAAAAAAAAAAAAAGGTATGTATACTACATTACGAGTCTGATGATACTGACGAGGGTATTCTGTTTCAAGCAACGAATTTGTGCCCTGACTCGCTAGATATTTTCACAAATATCGTAAAGCCAAGTCACGGCTGGGCTAGACTGCACCTGCGCGAGCGCACAGGTGCAGTCTAGCCCGGCTGTGAAGAGTCTGACAGAAAGACCTATCGTTCACAGTCCTGTTCACGCTTTCTTGCAGATTAAACGCCGGAAGGAGCATACCTTGATTTTTCGACACTGGCGTAACCAGAGGAGGTTCAAATCTTCCTCCCTCCTGTTTTTTTTTTTTTCTTCAGTTTTGGATATGTCAATATACAGGCACATATCCAAACGCACGCGCAAATGTACACAAAGTGTGGTTGAACCCCTCGCCGAAAAGAATTTCTGGTTAGATGGCTCAGATGACACATGGTTAGATGGCTCAGATGACATCGCGTCAAGATTTTACTGTCCTCTGCTTTGTATTCCTGTGGGACGAGCGCCGGTGAACTGGCATGGGGGATCGCGCAGGCCATCGAGGTGCTCGTGGCGAAATGGCGGTTGCGTCTGGCTATACGTCAATCCACAGCAGGCACATGGCTAATGAAGCCTAGCGCTGGTGCCCTATCGAAGCCTAGCGCTGGTGTCCGCTACTAATTGTGCCAAATTCAGGAAGCATCGCACCTTGTGGTAGTTCCAAAAGTTGCCAGTTGCGACAGCCGGCGACAAACACAGTCCGTATCTGTCGTACCTTCCGCACAGAAAAAAGAAAAGAAAACTCTTTTTAGGATGGTGCAGCAACTTGCTGCGATACGGCCATGGATGTCGTCGGCGTATTACGAACAATGCGTTAGAGAAGCGATATAGATAGCCGCTGTTGATAGGGCAGTGCGCAATTGCTGCGGTGTATGAGACGTCTGTTGCGCTTGAAGAAAGGGACAGCGAAGGACGCGTTCTTAAGAGTAGGCGCATGGTTGTGCCCGCGGTTGCAATAGTCCACTTCCGCACAGACCGGCCTCGGAAGCCTCCGCCTCTGGACCCCGTAAAACGGCGGCGCGCGCCGCCGACTGCCATATGAATCAGCAGCGACTGCGGTTGCCCTTATCTCTGTACGCTGGTGGCTGACATGCACGTGCACGCTCTTGTGATCGATAAAACCAGACACACGCGAGCACTCAAAAACCCGCGCCGTCCGGCCCACTACCAGTGATTCTCTGACGCACGGTCACGTGGCCTAGTCCTCCTCACTGCGAAAGTATAAAACCCGCCGCCTCGCCATATCTGCGCCCCTTCCAACTGTTCCGCTGCTCGTCCTGTCTACTACGCGCGCACGGTATTTCATCGTTGTTGCCACCCAAAATCCAACCATTCCGTCCCTAATCATCTCCGGCGGCTGGGACGCTTCTCCCAAGGTATGGCGCTGCGCGGTTGAAACAGTCGTCGAGGCTTGACGACTGATTTCTTGGAATTCGCGTGTTTATCCGTGGCCGTTGTGTCGAGAGAATCCGACGCCGGTGCAGCAGGGTGGGGAGACTACTAAAAAGAAAATGTCGGGCCTGCGAGCCTCTGCGATAAAGACGCCGCTGTATCGACCGTGGACGAAGTTGGGTTTGTGTGTGTTTCAGGGGGGCCTGACCGCACGGGTCCGCCTGCCCAAGATCCGCATTAGCGGAAGCGGACCGCCTTGGGACGAGAGCTGAGGCTATGAAGACGTGCGAGGTTGTGGACCCCATGGTGGGATCCGTCAGCATGGTTCGTTCCATCACATCAAACCCGGTACGTCGACCACTGCTGCTTGTGTAGCAGCTGCGCATGCGATGTGCATTTGCGGCCATAGCGGAGAAAAAGTGCGTGTCGTCTCTCGTACGGCTAAGTGCGAGATAAAGCGGCTACGCTTGCCAACGCAACTGCTGTAGCGACAGCGCTCAAGTGCCGATCAGAAAGTCTCTCGATTAAAAGAAAAAAAAAAGCTCTCAGTCGCGTACAGGGTAAAGGTCACGATTACCCCGATCCCGAAATCGCTGTCCGTCTGTAGAAACAATCGTATAGAGATAGCGCGCACAGTCACGCACATGCAATAAGCAGCGGACTGCTGCTGTCACTGCTGGCAATTTGCCACGTTCGCTACAGCTGCCAACACTTGAAACGGTAGGCGACCCATTTTGCGTGAAGCTGGCGATCCTATGCTACGCGTAAAGATGACCATGTTGCAGGCTTCATGTGAAAGTTTTTACAGCGAAAGCTGTTCAGAGATAAAAACTCGGGTCACGCGCGGCGCCGTAGTTGTCCGCTGTCGCCGCCAGTGTCCGTAACCACAACGCACGAAATGAGAAAAAACAAAGCTAGTACCAATGACATTTGGGTTCGAACCCGGTTCCGCGAATTCGAACCCAGTGTTCTACCACTGAGCCACGCTGGTGCTTGGGACTTGTTGGCAAACTTGCATTAGGCATGCTTGATGTCGGGTAAGCAATCGCGTTAATTCACAAAGCGTTTTAACGGTGAAAGAACAACCAGTCGTTGCACAATGCGAATAGAGTAACGAGTGGGTTGTCCAATGCTCTAACCCATTACAAAAGCTCCTTCTTGTTCGCCTATTAACTGTGGCACATACCCACTTCAGGCATAATTCCTCATCGTCCTCAGCCACTGCTTGAACAATTGACACAAAAGTTTTTGCAGGTGTTTAACGTATACTACCCTTCTCGGAAGACTGACGAGAAATAGCGTAGCGAATGCCGGCCTACTACCCAAACATGTTTATTCTTAGTGCCATAGTGGGTATCAAGCAAGTGTGCTTGCAGTAGTTACCCAATTAGTGTTTATAAAACATTCTATAAAGCCGCTCTTCTAGCTTTCGTTGTGACTGTGCTGTGCCTTTCTTGCAGGCCTGGCATTTTTTTTGTTTTTTTATTCTGTGCGAGCTAACGCCGTAATGGTGCCCATGATTTCAGGACAATGATCAGCCATTCTTCGTCGTTGACGTTGGTGACATTCTGTACAAGGTGAAAGTCTGGAAGCTGAAGATCCCGCGCGTCGAGCCCTTCTACGGTGAGCGATTTTTTCTTCACTGCTGCAGGAATTGACAGGGCGGAGCTTGTCACACTGTCTCACACAATTGGTGCGCGCCATTGCATTGTCCTAACACATCGCATTGCTGAACATTAATGCATATCGCACTTTCAAGCTGTTGTGCTGTAATTAAGAGAAAACGCATCTCTTAACTACAAAAGTTTAATGTTTGTGACTGGTTATGATCAAACCAGTGATGCACGTGGTATACTGTTCATAGAAAAAAATTGTTATACACAACCACCTGAATCAAACAGACTGTGAAATCAGCGAATGCATACAGGATATTTGTTCCTTGATAAAAATGTATAACGCTTTACAGACAAGACAAAGTGTGCACATGACGCTGTACTTGCAACTGGTATTAATAAAAATGACATGTACTTTTTTAATGCAAAGCCTTGAAGCAAGCGTGCGTGCTCTCTGTCAAACTAGATACACTTGTCAATCCATGTACGAGCTTTCTAGTCGCTCCCGATAAACTCTTTCGCTAATGAGGAAAAAGGAGCCATTTTTACTAGGTGTAAAAAACAATTTCTTGTGGCTAGATAATGCCTTACATTATTAGGTAACAAGCTGTAGATAAATAAATCGTCTGTCCATAACATCAATGTAGCATATATATTTAGTATACACATTAAGTAAAAAATGTTTCAAATGAAAAATTTCTGCAGTGATTATAGAGTTAACACTTTAAAAAAGAACGATATAAAAATAATGATGTTAAGAATAATTAAAGACATAGAATTCGTAGCTTCTAATGTTGCAAAAAGGTTGCACAAGTTTCAAGAATTTTTGCCAAAAACTGTTCTTTCCACAAAAAAGAAAGTGCTGCCGTAGATAGGTTATCCTGTGCAGCTTGCCTTCGCAGACGGGGTTTGTCTGCTCGGAGTCCATTACATTTACAAAGAGAAGGAACGAAAAAAAAAAAAGGCTTCTGCACATAGTATTAACATAAATAAGGCCTGAAAATTACTCTGAGGTATTCCAATAAAGATGAAGGCGAGGTAACTCAGATTTATATGTAAATAAGGATTCCATTGCACTTCATCGAGAGTGAAGTTCCTCCACAAACCGCTCCTTTCTGCCTATGTCTGCCTCTATAAAACATGTACACGCATATTTGTTGGTGTAGTCTGTAGGGTGTCGATGTGGGGAGCGCCGCCACGCTCTTGGCATGAACGGACACAGGAGTTAGCTCGGAACGAACCAAGCAGCACACATTTAACTACAATTAGAACGACATCGTCAGCCGAATTATAACATCAATTGTGATCAATACGCTAGACAACCTTACAAAATATTACACCACATTCAACATGACAAAACACATTCAAGGCAGCTTCGCCAACGCTTCAATTATCATGTGGGCCCCAGGCGCGCAGCCTGCAGTGCCACACACCGGGGACCCACCGCTACAGACAACTGTTTGCGCCAACCGCCACCCACCAAAGAGACCCGCTCATCTGTTTCGTGCCATCACCCACGCTTTCCGCCAGGCGTCATCGCCGGCGCTACCGCTTTAACCATGATGACGATGGTGGTGATAAACGCTCGCGAGCACAACGCCACCTACCGCTCGGTACTGAAATGCGGCCAATGCATGAAACATGTGTGCCACAAGGCACAAACAAATTTACAGGGGGTGTCAGCACCCCCACAAGTCGCAGGTCATGCTGGTCAGATGTGCTGTAAAAAACAGCTGGATGAAATCAGACTCGGAAAAAGCAGTGAGAGTTACTCTGAAGTGTGCCTCAGACCCCCGGGTTTCGTCTTGAAAGACGGTGCACATGCTTGACAGACGCCAGCCAGGAATTGTGTCTGTAGAACGTTGAGACCCTCAAAATGAGTAAAATTGCTGCGAGTACACACTACCCGGCCCGTAACTACTTGTTGCAAAAAAATGTGCGCCACACATACAGCCGGCACTCACTCGCTGAATTTTGCGGCTTGCCCTATGATGCATCCTCGCCATAGGGGCTGAAATTTGATGTCTTCTTCTCCAGGCTCACTGCTGCTCATTTCATCCTCAAAATCTGCTGTTGATGCGCTTGATTCGCGAGAAACGTGTAGTCATTTAGGGTCGTTCGCACGGGAAAACTACGCCATGATCAGCGTGCACCCGCAGCTACCTGAAACTTCTTGAGGCTAGGGAAAAACTTCCCTAAAGTAAAAAAACAACCACATCACAGATCTCGTTGTGCGTTTCCCACTTTCTTACGTAGATAGCATTAGGTGCCCGCAAACTCCGTGAGCGCACGAGAATTCAAACTTGAAAATGCATTGCTCAAATTGAATGATCTGAATAAGCGCAGTAGCGAAAGAGTTAGCAGGCCCATTTCCTTTGATGATAATGCCAAGAAGGTTGGCTAACACAACACTTGAGTTTTTTGATTTGTGGAATGCCTCAGCCACTTCTGTTGTGTGTAATTTGCCTGTCTTTGTTGTTTGTAACTGTAGTGTACTTATAGTGACTAGTTGACGAATGGTATTAGGTGCACTGTAAGTGTGCCACTGCCAGAAGTGGCTGGGTGCACGGCAAATAGTTGCATGCATTCCTAGATCACCCTGGCTCTGGCAGCTGCAGTGATGGCAAACTAGAACCGCGAAACAACGTGGTGTAGGTTACTGGTCCCTCTTCAACCAACCACTGGTAAAAGTAGCAATGCTCATCAATGCCAGCTAGTACATAGTGTTCAGTTCAAGGCAGCACGTAATTATATTGAGTTGTTAAAGTTAGTCCAATGTGTTGTTTGCGGTGCACATTTGACTTGTGATTGGTAGGCATATTTGACGTGTATATTTGACTGCGTAGCGGTATTGTACACAATGGTCACTAATGGTATCCCAGTTCGTGTGGTCGGCGTTGATATACATGGAGATTATATTGGACAAAGTTTGATGGAAGTGCTGTGTGAGGCCGTTAGCCTGGAGATGGTAGCTGGAAGTCGTCTTATGAATGGTGCGTGGAGAACGTCTTCAAATAGTTTAGAAAGAAGTGCCCTGTAGCGGTCACTCTAAAGGACATGCGGCGCGCCATGTCCCGGAAAGATTGCCTCCAGGAAGAAAGTAGCAATGTCCTCCGTCGATCCTGAAGGGAGTGCAACTGTTTCGGCATAAAGTGGTCAACCGCTGTGACAATTCAGCGCTTGTCGCTAACTGAATATTTCGCTTACATTGTTAAGAATATTCCATTAATATTGCAAAATGCAATATGCAGAACAAGTGAACATGATCATGAAGCATTTCTTTTAAGCTTTATCCGCGCATCTGTTTCCACATTTGAGGCCAAGCTGAAACATTCTTGCACATCCAAAAACTGGCATATCCACGATGGCCAGTACAGTTGGGAAACTTCGCGTTTGTGTTACTCAGCGATAGTGGGAACAAAATCTTGCATTATATCAGGTTTCAACCTTTTTAATTGAGGATCGACACAGTGACCAAGCTAAATTATTGAATGAATCGTGTTTGCAGCTGTCAAGTGCAATGGCGATCCAGCCGTGCTGGAACTCCTGGCGGGCCTGGGGTTGGGTTTTGATTGTGCCAGCAAGGCCGAAATTGACACCATTCGGGCAGTGGGAGTGGCCAGCAATCGCATCATCTATGCCAACCCATGCAAAACCCGCTCGTTCATCAAGCATGCTGCGGCCGTTGGTGTTGACCTCATGACCTTTGACAACGAGTTGGAGCTGTATAAGGTGCGCGAGCTGTACCCAGTGGCACGCCTGGTCCTGCGCCTGCGCGTTGATGACTCTGGTTCTGTCTGCAAGCTGGGCCTGAAGTTTGGCTGCGAATTGGATGATGCACCGCATCTCCTGTCTGTGGCCCGCAAACTTGGCCTCTCTGTGGTGGGCGTCAGGTGGGTGCATGTGCAGCTTCACTACAGAGGTCTTGAATGGGCACGTGTAACCATCACACAATCTTTCTATCCATGTTCTCCCACAATGTTTAATAGAGAAACTCGGGTGCTGTAGTTGTTCAGCCATCATTGGAATGATGGGCACGGCATGGATTTGCCTTGCCCAATCTTTGTGCTTGCGGCTTAGAATGCACTTGTCGCTTTATTGTTATGGCATTTGTTTCCTATAAAAGAATGGATCGTTGTGAACTCGCAGAGTTCACATAGCTATCATAGGAATGATGTTCAGCCATCATAGTAATGATGGGCACGGCATGGATTTGTCTTGCCCAATCTTTGTGCTTGCGGCTTAGAATGCACTTGTCACTTTATTGTTATGGCATTTGTTTCGGATAAAAGAATGGATCGTTGTGAACTCTGCGAGCCGACTTAAAGTGGTGAGCCCCCCCCCCCCCCCCTCCTTCCTCCGGTAAAAAAAAAAAGTTACGGCGGTGACGTGTAACTGCTGCACATTCGGTGAGCTAAAAGAAAGATTAGATAAATTTGTGTACTACCCATCATTTCCATGCTGGTTGAAGCGCCATGTATTGCAGTTCCCATAGACACTAGTGCCAGAGTTTCCTGTAATGAACTTATAGGAAGCTATGCTTCTATCATGCTAGTCTTAAAACTCCTTATTGCAGTGCTTGGCTGCTGACCCAAGGATCACTGGTTGGATCCAGGCCATGGCTGTTACATTCTGATGAAGGCAAAATGTGCAAAGCCAGTGTACTGTGCCATGTCGGTGCATGTAAAACAACACTAGATGGTCCAAATTTTTAGAGCCCTCCACTACGACGAGAGTCCTAATCATATCCTGGCTTTAGCATGTAAAACAATAATATACTACTGCTCGTAACTCCCCATAGGCTTCATGTATTGAAATCTCGACATGCCATTGGGCAAAGTCATTGCGGTCTGCTGATTATGGCACCACCTGTTAGTGGAAAGGTCTGCTGATTATGGCACCACCTGTTAGTGGAAAAACGAGCCAAGTAGCATTTTGTGCGCTGCATTGTGCAAGCCCACTAGTGATGCTGCATTGACGAAGTGAGCAGCGTGTTTGTGCAGTATGCCATACATTTTTGCTGATACTGCATGTGTAGAAATTTTCAGCACTTCTTGAGTGGGGAATGTCCGGATTTCAGTTTGAAATTATGCAATGGCACGATTCAACAACTCTGACCATCGTATGATACGTCGTGACCTTGCAGCCTTTGATAGCGTCTACTGAATGTTTTAGTTCATTGGTAAAACTTCTTGCTTACTCTTTGATATAAGGGCCCAAAGCCACCTCTGATATTGTAACGGGCTGACGAGAACGACCAAGAGGGCAGGGAGGAAGACGAGGTTGACACTCTGCGAACTGAGCGCCACCTCATCCACTAAGAATATTTTAAATTTTCAATTTTCAAGGAAACATGCACATTAAGTTAAGAATGGCATCATGGTCAGCAGTGCTGAATTCGAGAACACTAAGTGGTGTGGCCACTGGCGGCGACAAAATAAATGTCATGCCCCTACTCTTGGCCTTTCCTGCGTTGCCAGTGCTGGTTGCAACATTACCAGTGTGATCAAGATGTTGGCTTGTTGTCTGGTCGAGCAAAGAACATGTTTTCTAGCAGCTAGGCACACTACCTGCTAGTCTGTGATAAGGAGCACTGTGGACGAATGAAGTGAGCGAAATGAGAGAGGGCGGTGCTTTGATCCTCACATGTGTGTAACTCCACTTTCAAAGCACTAATTTGAAAATTGTTGAATTCAAGGAATTTAATTTAACCAGTGGGGGCAAAACTTGAAATTAGCAACATTGCATCGATGTTCATGTGCTGAATTTGCATTGCAAAATTCAAAAATTCCGACATGCAACATTAATGTTTCAGTTTAGCAGTGCCGACTGTGTCCTATTGCAGCTTCCATGTGGGGAGCAACAGCCACGAGCCCCAGTCATTTGCACGTGCCATCGAAAGTGCTCGTCAGGTGTTCGACCAAGGACTTGCTCTGGGCTTTCCCATGACTCTGCTCGATATTGGGGGTGGCTACCCAGGAGACCGGGGCTTCCAGAAGCTCTTCGACCAGGTGGGCTACCGCATTCTTTCGTGCAAAAAAGCCGCGTTGTTCTGGTGTTATAACCCTTCCTGTTCCATTGGGGAGCATAGTGATCACTCCAAGATTTGTTTCTACTTGAATACTCGGTGATGGAAGTGTCTTTTTACTTTTTGGAGCATACTATGGAGAGAAAAATGCTGCTTTAGAGCAGCCATAAGTGTTTTCGGAGTAGGGGAAAATACTAGTTTATAGCACCTATTGGCGTTTTAGGAGCACATATTAAATTTGCTGTACATTAATTGGAGTTCAGAGCATTGTCGAAGCATCTGATAAACACTGATATTTCTTATGAAATATATTCAACAAACAATTATCAACGCAAGTTTCACATAGCAAACAATGGCAAGTTGTCAGAAATGTGCTGTGAAATGAGTTACAAATTAAAATTCTAGCGTTTGCGGCAGATATGAAATTGGACCGGAAAAGCTGAGCGCTACATCTTAGAAGTAACCGCAGTCACACACAACTGTTGCCGATAAGCAGCAGATAATCGGTATGAGATAAAAGCAATGCTGCTCATTTTGAAATTTCACTGCATTAGCCTGCATGTCTAGCATAGAAAAAAAATCGGTCAAATGAGCAAAGCTATGCTTTAGATGCCAATTCTTGTCGCACAAGTGAGATCATAATGCTGCACACTCGTAGCATACGGGGATGATAGTACACAGCTTCTTTTCAGTTTCTTTAGAACTTATGAGTTGGTGAAGCAGTAAAAGTTGGTCATTCTCATTCTCTCAGCGTCATATTGGAGCATGTTTGGAGAAATTTCTAACAAAAATTACTGTTTGAAATAGCATGGAGCAGTTTGGAGCAGCACTTCCATCACTGAATACTAAACAGGGTGCCTCAGCTAACTTAAGCCAGAGTTTACAAATGTTGCAGTGCGCCCTCTTTACATTTTCATACTTGCAAAGTCTCCCGAATTTTTACCATTTCTTCTGTTTGTACAGTTGTCATGAAAGGCTCCCGGAAATCAGAATTTCTGTGCGGGATCTGGCCTTGTTGACAAAAATGGTCAGTCCGCTCTGGGCTTTTTGCGAAACCACAGCATTTTATTATAAACAAATTTAGGAGGCGTTCATCTCAACGTACAGTAGTCTCAGTGATGCGCTACCGCGGCAGATATGAATTCTTGAAGTTCCCTAGCCAAATTCTACTGTATCCGTTGGGCCAAAATCTGAATTTTCTGAACACTTGTCCTAATCACGGTGTGTTATATGAAATTTTGTACCGAAACTATTGGACGAAGGCCAATCGAAAGCTGTGTGCTCGAAGCTTCGGAAGTACGCGTGCGACCAGCACACACACCGTCTTCTACAGTGCGTGTTGTTTTTGCCACAACCGCTGTGGACGAAACCGCGGTCGTTCTTTACACGATCATGTATCGTGACGACGTTACTGACAGAACTCTGAAAGTGTGCGAGCGTCCAACGCTCGACCAGTCAACGCAACGCTGCTTTCCGCAAACTTTGTGCACAAGACCACGGCAGATGCGACCATATTTAGCTTGAAATAACTTAGTTTCGAAGACACGTGCACAGCCAATGAACGCGGATTGAAAACAGACTGCAGTCATGCCGCAACCGCTGCGCACAAAATCGCGGTGGCGCAGACAGGATAGTGGTCTAAGAGTTCCGAGGGCACGTGGCCAACTTAGAGGTAGATTAAAGACGGTAGAGACCTGAAAAAAGGCTGGAAACGTTTAGGTGTTCCTGTCCAAAGAATCAAGTAGCGAGCAAAGCCAAAGCTTTGACCCGCGCTTTCTCGGCAGCGAGCTGCGCCGTCCCATCTGGTCACGTGTGTCACAGGAAAACGTACAAGAGTTGTTTTGGCGGAAATAGAATTTGCTAGTTCTTTTCACGACGCAAAATTCTGGGAGTATTCGCGCGCCCACTCTCACCTTAGTGGAAAACCCACCTCGTGTGTTCAGCCACTCCAGGCCATCGTAAAACTGCAACGCCGATGTTGGCGCTTGCAATTAGTGTGTGTATTCTGTTATTTTGCTTAATTAGTTCAGATGAGCAAACTAACTTCCGAAGCTACAAAACTGGGCGAAAATTTGCAATTAGGAAGTTTGTCAATTTGCAGTTGATTAGACAGTTTCCAACGTTTTCTCCAGTAAGTATGTGTTTATCAGTAAGTATCCAGTAACAGATGCCAGCGAAATACAAAAGTATACCATGTGGCATGCCTGCTTGCACGCAGTAACTACAGTGCAAAACAAGTTTTCCTTGCAGCGCTTCATGACGATAAGCTGACTTGGCGGTTATCACTTGCCCTGTCTGCAAGCAGCAGATGCGCACAGCTACCACCATCATCTTTGCGCTGTCTCCTTTTAATGCGGCAGCACACACAACCAAACACTTTAGTCACTCACAAGCTGAATGTTCCTAAACACAGCAATTGTTGCGCACATAGGTGCACTCGCTCTCGTGTCACGTGTGTATTCCTTGTGTAGTAATGTATTCCGTTACTCGAACAAATGGGGCTTGATGCAGTCTTCTACACGGTTGTTTTATGATGCTGTCCAGTATTTGAACACAGCGAATTTCAGTGCCATGCCACCATTGCTCAGTGCATATTCATTGTCATTTCAGATTGCCTACACCATCAACACCAGTTTGGCAGAACATTTCCCAGAGGAGAGTGGGGTTCGGGTGATTGCAGAACCGGGCCGCTTCTTCGTGTCGTCGGCATTCACGCTTTACACGACAGTGATTGCCAAGAGAGAGGCTGGCGATCGGCTCATGTACTACCTGAACGACGGTGTCTACGGCTCCTTCAACTGCACAGTTTTTGACCATGCAGAGCCGGTGCCCTTTGCACTGAACAGCAGCGATGGCCCTCGGCGTCTCTGCTCCCTCTGGGGACCAACGTGCGACTCCATGGATCTTGTGCTGGAAGACGCCCTGCTGCCAGAGCTTCAGACAGGCGACTGGGTCGTCTTTGAGAACATGGGTGCCTACACGCTGTGCGCTGCGTCAAACTTCAACGGCTTCCAAGCGCCAGAGGTCAAATACACTCTTACATATCCCACCATGTGAGTATTTTGCACAACGCAGTAGCACAGCTGATTTGGCTAGGGTGTTTTTGTAGAGCGAGACTCTCTTTCAATGCTAACAACATTTATGCTCTTTGCACTTGCTGCTAGTCTCTGGCAAGATTGATGGGCTGGCTGACTAATTAGTGCGTGCAAAAGCATAGAATTGGAAAATACATCACTCTGGAATAGCACCCTTAGTTAGTCTATTGGTGGAACTGGCAGAATATCTGCGCGATGAGCACAAAAATGTTGCCATTCAAAAAGGCTCTGCACAACAGAGGCTGGAACGGTATGGTGTTTTAGCTGACAGTCTGGTCAACACAGATTTTGTCAAACAGTACATTGCAGCATTCCACCTGTTGCACGTAGTACAGCCAACTCGAAAGTGATGCGATAAGTGGATTAGTAGTTGTATATGAACTCTCCCCATAAAAATGTCCTTTTAAGGGCCAAACCATTTTTTCTTCTGTGTAGAATTATTAAAAAGTGCAAACAACCCTCCACTGACAAGCTAAGCCTTTTCGCATGTTAAACAATGTCAGTTTTCTCTCAAGTGAATTCAGCCACATTCACAATGAACTCTCGCCGTTCCACTAAAGCGCGGTACCGCCACGGAACCAATCATCCCTAGCTAGTTGTGTGCAGCGCGTCGCTTACTCTTCTCTCGCCATCGCATGCCGGGTTTGCAGTCTAATGCATGCGCAAGTTCGTGCATGCTTCACTCGGGATCGTGCTTGAGTGCGGCAAGTAGTCTTTTCGTCTAGCACAATGAAGACAAATTCTGTAAGCAACGCGTGCAAGTGCCTTGCTCGATGCAGCGGCGGCGAACTTGCGAACGGTAGCATGACGCGCTTGTACCGTCGTCACTTCGCCCATCACATATGCAGATGACTGAGTCGTAATGGCCCACTCATTGTCACCGGCCACCTCGCCATCGCTGTTTTCTCATGCTTATCCGTTAAGGCAATGCCTTAACACCAGGCATAAACGACTGACTTGCAGTACCTCCCAAATTGTTTTGTGATTGCAGAGATCCATTGGGCAATACTATGGACAAACTGCTTGTGTTTAGCTAAATAGTGTCTACAGTCGTGTACCCGAGAGCACACTGCAGGGATGCTTGCATCCCCACTGTGTACTTGTGTAGTGAGATGATGATTGGTCGTGTTGCTACTGTAGGCATTGCTTCTATGGGACACAGTGAAGGTAAAACTCTTCACTGCAGTAGCAAGATGAATAAGAATGGGAGAGTACAAAATTATTAAAAGTTGTTGCAACCATTTTGGGATGGTAAGACAAAATTTATTCTTAATTACACGATATAAAAAAGTTCTCTTGTCAGTCTTCCAAACACACTTGCAATGTTACATGATAAATTGCCACCGACTTTCGTAGGGTGAAAAGCACCGTGCATAGACAGTGTAGTGGCCTGTGATCTTCCCTGATAATAAATAGTAGCCTACTCTGTGGCTTTGAAAATGAGATATTGCTGTGCAATATCTCATTGAGTCAGACTTTGAGTCAGTCCCATTCTCCTGCAGGGTGCAGCTGCAAGGCATGGCGTTCTGGAATAACCTCGCTCACCACCTGGGCACAGCTGTGCAGCAGACAGCGGACACATGTGGAACAACTCCGGGACAGGGCGCGGGGGCGGCGTTGGACAAGGCGCCGCCCCCGCTCGCGGAGGTGCATGGCTGAAGCCCAATAAAAAAAAATTATAAAAGTGGCACACTTGTGAAAATTCACTCTTTCAAGGCACTGCTGGTGGCGGGACCTTTCTTTAGCGTGCATTGGTTGGACAAGGCGAACCGCTCTGCTGCTGTCATGTCGTCGGGCAGGTCTTGTACCAGGTCCGGTGCATGGCTGCGCTCAATGCTGTCAATGGACACGTGCACCCGAGCCAATGCAGTGTCGAGATCGCGTGCCAGCTCCTGGTTTGAAGACTCCTGGCTGATGTCGTAAGCATCCAGGCTAGCCACGGCATCTATGGCTGTGGGTGGCACGTCATCATCCCTGCATTGCAGAGGGCAAGCATACTTTCTACCACCAACCATGAAGACAGTTCACACCGTCGTGCTACCAACACATGCACATTTATTCACTACTTTTATACATCACCATGAGTTTTCCAGCTGAATCAAGTACATCACTAGTGACATGCTATATTATAGCTTTGTACAATATGCCAATACAACATAACAAGGTACCGCACATGTGGGGTCGGCAGTGCGGGCTCTCCACGAGGGATCTACGGGAAACTACTTGTGGCGTTGTCCCCCATGGATCCATTGTACGAGACGTTCGCTTTACTCATGCGAGCGTTATAGAGGAAGTTATTGAAATACACACCTCGATGATGTGCTCACTTTTTTTTTTGCCATTTGTTTCGGTTGCCACAGCTACGCAAGTGGCTTCAACCCCCGGCCAGTTTAGTAGGAGCCTCTTTGCTCGATACCATGATGCAAGACAGCAAGTCTGCACATGTATGAATTTCAAGAGCATTTACCATCCTACTTGGCAGTGGCCATGTCATCTCTCTGTTCTGCCACAAAGCTGACTTCAATAACCAACATTACGTGATGCCCCTTGTAGAAACTTCCATATTTCAAAGCCACTGACAAGGATGACAAACAGCGAGATGGCATTGCTGACAGTGATGGACCTTTTCAATCAAAAGTGCAATATTAAACAGGGAGCGTGGCAGTGAGCATCAAACTGCAGGAATCGTAGCTGTGAGGTTATCAGCATGCAAGAGTGCCGGCACAAAGTAGTGAAATAATCAAAATGGTAATGGCTTCCATTTACAACGTGATGCAGAAACTACCTTTCTTTTACGAACACTTCCTTCAACAAAGCACTCATTTGGGCTGGTTAATACACATTTAACATGGGCTCTGAAATGTGCTGAGGTGCGCAATATTGGAACGAAGACAAAAAAAAAACAAAACTGATGCATGCAAACCATTGAGTTTCCTAAAATTAACTACAGCAGACTCTGGTGCTGCGATCATTCAGCAAGCATGGGGAAGATGGGTAGTACACATATCTGCCTAGTCTTCGTACTTGCGGGCAGCAAATCGCACTTGTGCCTTCGTTAATTGCTATGTTTCGGTTTTGTTTCGAAGGAAGGAACCCTTTTGAATTTCATGACCCGATTTGAAATAGTAAACCTAAAAGATTTAGGTAGTAAAGCACAACTGCCGAACATTTGCCAATGTTCTGTGACAAAGCAGCTTCAAGCCAGGTGATGCCAAAAGGAGCATAAAATACGAAGACTAGGCATATCCGTGTACTGTATCATGTGTTGAAGCTCCCATAGAATCTAGCGCCGGAGTTTTCTCTAGTGTATATATAGGAAATTCTGTGGTGCAAACTATCACCTGTAAATCTTTTGTGAGGTTCCACTTAGGACCACTCCATGAAAGAAGATAACGTGGCTTATGGCGCGAAAAAAAGAAAAAAAAAAAAAACGCGAGAAGGACAAGCGCCATAAGCTACGTTATGAATGAACCAAGTCGCCCTGCTGAAAGAAGATCAGTGAAACTAGAGTAGTGAGGCAGTTTCACTACACTAGTTTGACATATTTTTTATTCACCCTTTCACCCTTTCCCTTGATCTTTCTTTCATGGGGACATTGGCACCTCACGAAAAAATTTACAGGTGATAGCTCGCACCCACCAGCCTCTGTGCCTCTGCTAATGCTCACCCTTTTGCGCCTCTACTGCACAATATTCTGGCACTTTTGTTAAACCCTTCCTTCCTTTAAGCAATGCAGGCCAAACTCATATCGACTACACTAATGCCAGCAAACAGAATGGTTTTGTGAAAACAGCACAAAGCATTAAATAAAAGGCTGCAGTGATGCTAACAGGAATCAACTGCAAGTGGAACAGGAGAGGGCCGGGAACAAGCTTTTCGGCTCAAGTCGCAGGCGTCTTTGTAGGGGAGGCGTTGGCCTAACCCTCTTCTGCCAGAGCCCACTTGGGCAGCATGGCATTCGCGCTAAAAGTACAACAACAAAAAATTGTTTCGTTACTGCATTCTAGTATAGTGCCTAGAATATGTTTTCTAGTCTACCGACCACGAGTGCTGCGGTGGCACGGAGCATGGCCTCCGCCGTCTTGGAGGCCATGCACGGAGAATGATGCCTTCGACCGGTGGCCACCAGACGGCGATAACCGCAGGGACTGTGCTATGCTGGGCGGCCCGAGCAGAACGGTGTTGGCGTCGTCTCTAATGACACTCCAGCCAACGCCCACGTGTAGCTGACGCCGATGGGCTCTCCCAGCCCACTCAGAGCTGTGTAACGCTGGTTGGAAGGAGAAGCGTAATAAAAGTAATATCTTTTCCTTATACTTACAAACGTACGTATGCCCCATTATCATTATTACAGTACACAATATTGAATGTTTGATCAAAAAATTACCAATAAATAAATAAATACGCGTGGTTTTTGAGTAAGAAGGGCAACTGCAATGAAGTTCAACAAAATTCAGCAGTGAAAATGAGACCATTTGATTCATTTCATTATGGCACACTATTTACCAGAAGCCGATATTTCTATTACTCAAAGAACTTTAATTCTCTCATGACGTTAATGCTAGCTGAACTCTTTAAAAGTAAACAATTTGCCTTCATAATTAATGCCCCGAGTGCTACAGCAAATATCTAATTTTCTTGATTTGTGAGCATTTTCAACACATTTTTTGAAACACCCGGCACACATGCGGACAATGTCGAGTAGTGCAGCGAAATATATTAACATGATAGCATTAAATTGCTAATTTCGCAAAAATGTCGGTGGTTTGAGCGAGAAATCATCTTGGACGTGAAACGACAGCCTCCAGAGTTACAATTCTTTCGCTTTATGTTCTTCCACGCGGCTCTGGGTCTGCAGGGGCGCTGAACAATCAGACCCCCATGTTGTTATGGTGGAAAAAACAGGTGCTGTCGTTACGCCTCAATTTTGTGTAACATTCCGGTTTTTTGAAGAGACACAAGGGTGAACAATGCGCACGGAAAAAAAACACGGCAACGACATGCGGAGGCATGTGCTACCTGTTCAACAGCATAAATGCCCCACAACTACACCGCAACCGACTGGGTTAGAGATGCGCACTCGCAGTGCATTCAAAGTGCATGCACCGTGCGTGCGGCGAGTGCTGTCGGTGTGCCCCACCGCTCGGATAGCACGGTCCCTAGTCACCATCTGGTGGCCTCTGGAGGAAGGCATCGGCAGTCACGGCCAGGCTAGACTGCACTAAACTGCACCTGCACACACTTCTTTCCTTACGACCTTCTCACTCGTGAATACAGTGGGAGAATGTTTCGCCACCCGGTGGCAGTAGGGGCGCACCAACCCTGTCCTTGCATCTTCTGCGCCGTGCACACAGCACAAGGAAGTTTGTCGATGTAAAACCGTGAAGTGGGAGTTTTCGACGAACATGGGGGGGGGGGGGGGTGGGGGGGGATTAATAAATAAATCAGAAATAGAAGGAGGATCGTCTACTTAAAAAAAAAAACTAATCTCACCAGACGGCTTTCCAATGATGATGATGATGGTGGTGTTTGGTGCTTTGTGGCACAAAGGCCATTTCATGGGACAAGGGATGTGGACAATGATTGATTGGCGGCTGTGTAACTGCCTTAACATTCCTCATGCTAAGGTGGGTGAAAACATAGAAGTAATAAAATCATGACCATGCCGTGAAAAGTGTGTGGCGTTAATGGATGACGAAAATTTGTGATGATAAAAACCATGGTGGACATGTATAGCATTAGCACAAGTGCCTCGATTGTTCACACCCTTGCATCAAAGGGCCGTGAGGCAAGTGCTTTGTTTAGTGTAGCCACCGCAGCAGAGACCTCTCTGGAGAGGCCGTGCTACGGAATGGTCGGGTGTATCCCATGAAAGGTACGGAGTTCTTTCAAAAAGTCAGCGATTTATGTGTGAAAAGTGGTTCCCTACCGACGAACATTGCAGGATGAAGTGGTATCTGTTGTCGGTAGAGTAATGAAAAGTGTTCTCTTCTCAGCATGTCTAACTGTTTACACTGGACTAAAATGTGAAGTACGGTGAGTGCTTCTCCACATTATCACACAAAGGCGGATCGCCACCAGACAAAAGAAATGAATGTGTAGTGTATGTATGTCCTGTTCTTAACCTTGTAAGTATTACTTCTGTGTAGCGTAGTTTTGATACTGGTGGCCAATGAGCAAGTTGCGGCGTGATGACATGCAATTTATTACTTGTGTGTGTGTCTCATGTGCTCTGCCAATAACCCCTGAGCTTTTGTTTTAGAAAAGGTTAAGTGGAGTGCAGGAATTGGTATCGATGTATTGGTAGTGATTTTGTTGGCGGATCCAGCTAGTAGCTGGTCCACCAGAACATTGCCTTGTATTTCGCGGTGTCCTGGCACCCAGCAGACTACAATATGCTGCTTGGATGAGTATACCGTGCATAAGAGCGAATAAAGTGAGACAAGGACAAGGTTTTTGTGCTTTTTAAGAGTTTTCAGAGCTTTTACTATGCTTAGAGAATCTGTGTATATTATTATTGCCTCCTGTAGTTTTATTTGTTAAATGTGTTTAACAGCTGCAAGTATCGCATAAGCTTTGCCAGTGAAAATGCTTGTATCAGAGTGCGGAACGCCGGCTTCCGAAAAGGATGGGCCGATGACTGGGTAAGAGACAGAAGTATTGGACTTTGAGGCATCCGTAAAGAACTCGGG